ACACTTACACATCTAATAACAGAGCATCAAAACACAAACAAACATTGATAGAACTGTCAGAAGCAATCTCCATAGCTAAGAGATTTCAAACCTCTCTCAAAAATCGCTTGAACAAGTACACAGAAAATCAATAAGGATAATAGTATATAGACTAGCTTGACCTACTTGACATTTGTAGAGCATTCCATTCAAAAACAGCAAAATACAGATTCTTTTCAATGGCATATAGAACATTTGCAGAGATAGACCACATTCTAGGCCTTAAAATGTCTCATTTATAAAATTTCTAGAAAAGGAATAGTTATCAGGGGTGCCTGGCTGGCTCAGTTGGTTAAGCAACTGCCTTCAGCTCAGGTCATGATCCTAGAGTCCCGGGATCGAGTCCCACATCGGCCTTCCTGCTCAGCAGGGAGTCTGCTTCTCCCTCTGACCCTCTTCCCTTTCGTGCTCTCTATCTCTCATTCTCTCTCTCTCAAATAAATAAATAAAATCTTAAAAAAAAAAAAAAAGAAAAGTAATAGTTGTGGAGACAGAAAGCAGATCAGTGGTTACCTGGGGCTGGGAAAAGGAATAGGAATTGACTAAGTAGGCACAAGCAAGGAAACTCTGAGATGATGGAAGTGTTCTAAAACTGGATTTTGGTGATGGTTGCACAATTGTATAAATGTACTAAAAATCATCTAACTGTATTCTTACAATCAGCCAATTGCATAATAATTACCTAATAAAGCTGGGAAAAAGGGAAGTTTTCCAGGTAAACAAAAACTAAAGAAGTTTATCATCACTAAACTGGCCTTACAAGAAATATTAAAAAGACTTTTTTTGAGCTGATAAGAGAAGGCACTAATTAATAACATAAAACATACAAAAGTAAAAATCTCACTGGAAAAGGTAAAGAGTAAAGGTAGTAGATTCAATCACTTCTAAAGCAAGTATGAAGGTTAAAAGACAAAAGTAATAAAATTAACTAAAACTACAATAGTTAAGGGATGCATAAAACATAAATATGTAAAATGTGACATCAAAAATATAAAATGGGGGTGTAGTAAAAAGATAGTTTGGAATGTGTTCAAATTGAAGCTGTTCTCATCTTAAAACAAACTATTATAAACACAGGATGTTATATGTGAACCTCACAGTAACCACAAAGAAAAAAACTCCTGGTAAATACCACAAAGAAACTGAGAAGAACGTAAACACAAAAACTAAAGAAAGCCATCATACCACAAGGGAAAAGAGAAAAGAGAAGAAAGAACAGAGAGGAACTAAGAAAACAGGCAGAAAACAATTACAAAATGGCAGTAAGTACATGCTTATCATTAATTACTTTAAATGCAAATAAACTCGCCAATCAAAAGACATGAAATGGCTGAGTGGATTAAAAAAAAGCACCCATCTCTATGCTGCCTACAAGAGACTCAGTTTAGAAGTAAGGATACACACAGACTGAAAGTGAAGGGATAGGAAAAGATAGCCCATGCAAATAGAAATGAAAAGAAAGCTGGTGTAGCTATACTCGTATCAGGCAAAATAGACTTTAAAACAAAGACTATAATAAAATACCGAGAAGGGAATTACATAATGATAAAGGGGTCAATCCAGCAAGAAGACACAACGTTTGTAAATATATATGTACCCAATGTAGGAGCACCAAATATATAAAGCAAATATTAACAGACCTAAAGGGAGAACTTGACAGCAATACAATAATAGTAGGGCACTTTAATACCCCCACTTACACCAATGGATAGAGCAGCCAGACAGAAAATCAATAAGGAAACACTGACCTTAAATGACACATTAGACCAAATGGACTTAGTAGACACATGCAGAAAATCCCAGCCAAAGGCAGAATACACATTCTTTTCAAATGCACTTGGAACATTCTCCATGACAGATCACATGTTAGGCCACAATAAATTCAAGAAGATTGATATTATAATATTTATGTATTTATTTTAGAGAGAGAGAGAGACCAAGAGAGCATGAGCAGGGGAGGGGCATAGGAAAAGGGAGGGAGAATCTCAAGCAGACTCCCTGCTGAGCGTGGAGCCTGATGCAGGGTCAATCTCACAACCCTGAGATCATAACCTGAACAAAAACCAAGAGTTGGACACTGAACTGACTGAGCCACCCAGGCACCCCAAGATTGAGATTATATTAAGCATCTTCTTTGACCACAATGGCAATAAAACAAGAAATCAACTACAAAAAGAAAACTGGAAAAACCACAAAAATGTGGAGATTAAGCAACATGCTACTAAACCAATGGGTCATCAAAGAAATCAAAGAAGAAATTTAAAAATATATGAAGACAAATGAAAACAGAAATATGACACACCAAAATCTATGCAGTGCAGCAAAAGTGGTTCTAAGAGAGGGAAGATCACAGCAATAAAGCCTACCTCAAGAAACAAGAAAACCTCAAATCACCTAACTTTAAACCCAAAGGAACTAGAAAAAGAATAAATGAGCCTAAAGTTAGTAGAAGGAAAAAAAATAACAAAGATCAGAGTGCAAATAAATCAAGACTAAAAATAAATAAATAAAAAAGATCAGTAAAATTGAGAGGTGGTTCTTTGAAAAGATAAACAAAATTGAAAAAC